CTGGCCACCTCAGCCTCGACCTGCTGGGCTCCGGCGATCCTTCCGCCTCAGCCTTCCGAGTAGCCGGAATTACAGGCACACGCTACCACCCTGTTGATTTTTTGATTTATGTAGAGATGAGGTCTCGCCAAGTTGTCCAGGCCGGTCTCGGACCCGCGGGCTCAGGCAATCCACTCACCTCGGCCTCCCAGGGCGCGGGATTACAGGCTGAGCCACCGAGCCCGGCCAAATTTTAAAAAATTTATTGTAGAGATGAGGTCTCACCAAGTTGCCCAGGCTGGTTTCGAACCCACGGGCTCAGGAAATCCATTCATCTCGCTTCCCAATGTGCTGGGATTACAGGCTGAGCCACCAAGCCCGGCCAAATCCTCCCTTCAAAAAAGAATAGGGTCTGCTTGCAGTGGAGCCACGGAAGCCAGCATGATGCCTGCCTTTGGGGGCTCTTGTGCCCTGCCCAAGTTCTGCCCTTTGCCTAGCATGCTCTTCCTGCCCTGTCCTCTCCATGGCAACCTCCGGTGTTGCCTTCTCCAGGAAGCTTTCCAGACTTCTTAGACTTCCAAGGCATCCCTGGCCCTCCCAGTACTGAGGAAGGGCAGAGAGAGCCTCTCAGACCTGACTCAGCAGAAGGGGGGGAGAGGGGTTTGCCCACCCTGCCGGGTCCCCCTCACCGGCCTCTCCCCAACAGGCTACCTCTTAGCCTTGGGCCCGCTCCTCTTCATCAGCATCTGCGACGTGTGGCTGCAGCTCTTCTCCCGGGACCAGGCCTACGCCATCAACCTGGCGGCAGTGGGCACTGTGGCCTTCGGCTGCACAGGTAGGAGCCGCGGGCCCATCCCACTCCGTGGCGGCCTGCCCGGGGGCTGAGCCGGGTGGGAGCCGGGTACACGTGCATGATGGCGAGCACACCTGCGCACGCTGAGCGCACACTCACGCCAGTGCACCCCGCGCTTACATGTGCTCACACCCACTCACACACGCACACAGCACACATCCTCATGCCTACACACACATCCACAACCCGGACCTGCGCGCCTGCGTGGCCACGCAGACACTGAGGAGCCCTTGGGTTTTCTCTGATGGAGACCAGGCTTTGAGGACGGTCCTGTCCTTGTCACCATCTCACTGTTTTTCTTGGACTTTCAAACTTTTTTTTTTTAATTTTCAGCCTGGGGAAAGCTTGCAGGGGTGACACAGTGAACTCCCATAGGGCCCTCGCCCCCCTTCCCCCCTCTCCCCCCCCATTTCCTTCTCTCCTCTCTT